TATCAATGATGTCTTGTTGAACTGTCGTAAACTGTCTACTCGGACTTCCTACACAAGGAAGTGGAATCTATTCCTGCAGTATTTGAATTCCTCAAATCTACCTCCTCCGCCAGTGGATTTGAGGTCTATTTTTGCATTTATTTTGTCCAGAATGGACTTGGGTCTCAGTTTTTCGTCGGTTAAAGTGTATTTAGCTGCGGTGTCAGCTTTTCATCCATCTGTTGATGGGTTTTCAGTTTTCTCGCATCCTCAGACAAAACAGTTTTGTAAAGGCCTTATTCGCCTGTACCCTCCCCGTCGTCCTCCAACCCCGGCCTGGGATTTGGCTTTAGTTTTGCGTTTTTTGATGGGAAAACCTTTCGAGCCATTGGCCACTTGCTCTCTAAAATTGCTGTCACTCAAGACTGCGTTTTTGGTGGCCATTACCTCTGCTCGTCGGGTCAGCGAATTGTCTGCTCTGAGGTGTGATCCACCATACTTAAGTTTTTCCCCACATGGGGTTTCATTGTCTTTGGACATCTCCTTTTTACCGAAAGTTGTTTCGGAATTTCATTTACGTTCAGATGTAGTTCTGCCATCATTTTTCCCGTCTCCTGCTAATGAAGAGGAACGGAAATTGCATTCTCTGGATGTTAAGAGAGCGTTGTTGTTCTATTTGGGCAGGACTAAGTCTTTTCGCCAGTCTCCAGCTTTGTTTGTTGCTCACAGTATGCCCTCCCAAGGGAAGAAGATCTCTTCCCAGAGGCTGTCGAGATGGATTGTGGAGGTGATCAAGCTATGCTACGCTTTGGCTAAGAAACCTCTTCCAGGTCAGCTTCGCGCCCATTCTACGAGGGCGGTAGCAACTTCCACAGCTTTCCTGCGAGGTATGCCGTTGGAGGACATCTGCAACGCTGCGACTTGGGCTACTCCGCTCACCTTCGTGAAGCATTATGCCCTTGATGTCCGGTCTTCTCGTCGTGTGGCGTTGGGTCGGTCTATATTGCAGACGGCGCAGATGTAGGGCCTCGGCCCCTCCTCCAGGTAAGAGTTATTGCTTGCTATTCTCCCAAGGGTGTGATGCACAGAGACCACGAAGAAGATAGACAGGTTGCTTACCTGTAACTGGTGATCTTCGAGTGGTCATCTGTGCATTCACACCACCCGCCCTCCTTCCCCTCTGCTCTCGGCCCTTCATCTTGTTTCTTTGAAGGCTGTTGGGCGGCGGTCAGAAGGAACTGGCGGGATCTGCGTGCCCCTCCTTGGTCATGCGCAGTGGAGCCGGCGCGTGACCTGGGAGAGGCGCGAAAATCCCTTTTGCTAGCTACCGGTACCGAGAAGGTCAGCGCAGGCGCAGTATATCCCAAGGGTGTGAATGCACAGATGACCACTCGAAGATCACCAGTTACAGGTAAGCAACCTGTCTTTCCTGGACAGTAAGATGTTCACCCATCAGACTCCCTTCCCCCCCTCCCTCACTATGGCAGTGTAGCTGACATTCTGTCCCTCCGAAAACCCCTCCCCACCAGGTTTGCTAGGATACATGCTATGGAAGGCAAGCAATAAGCTAGGAGCACGAACATCACATTGTTCAACCCATTCATTATGTGAGGGATCAAAGTCCTTCCACTGCACAAGATAGAACAGCCGGTCCTGCCTCAGTTTGGAGTCCAAGATTTGGGCAACTTTGTGGTGCGGTTCACCATTCACCATCACAGGAGGCGGGGCTGTAGGACGAGGTCTCTAGGCATTCGGTCTAGGGTCCCGCTTTAACAAACTGAAATGAAAAATGGGATGAATTCCTTTGAGCGATTTAGGTAGCTCCAGTTCAACAGTCACCTCATTGATTTTTCTCAACACCTTAAAGGGCCCCACATATTTCCAGCCCAGTTTTCTGCTGGGTTGGAGCCCTTTCAAGTTCTTAGTAGACAAATATACAGAGTCACCAGGTTGGATATCCCACCCAGGGGACCTTCCCTTGTCAGCCTGGGCGTTGTAATCTGCTTTAGCCTTCTCAAGGGTCTTTTGGATCACAGGCCATTGTTCTTTGATCCCTGCTGTAGGTAGAGGGGCTCCTGTACAATATTTTTTTAAAATTTTCATCTGGATGGCTGAGAATGGGCTCAGATGTGAACAGCTCCTTTAACTTGTGAAATGTTTCCTGGCATTCAGCCGCCCACTCCAAGCGCGCCCCAGGCTTAGAGCTGTCAGGCCCCTTCCCCTTAGTTTTAAGCAAATCAGTGAGGGGCAGGCTCACTTGGACAAAACTGGAGATGAATGCTCTGTAGAAATTAGCAAAACCAAGGAAGGCCTGGAGTTGGCGCCTGGTTCAAGGAGCCTCCCACCCCAGCACATCTGCTACCTTGTTAGGGTCCATCTCCAAGCCCCTGGAAGAAATGCGGTAGCCTAGGAAGTCAACCTGTGTCTGGTGGAACTCGCACTTAGACAGCTTGACAAGCAGTTTGTGGTCATACAGAGTCTGTAGAATCTCCCTCACCAGTTTCACATGTGACTCCTTGTCACGTGAATACAGTAAGATATCATCAAGATAAACTAGCGCCTCCTGGAGTAGGTGCTTGTGTAACACTTCGTTTATTAAGCTCATGAACACCCCGGGGGCCCCTTGCAACCCAAAAGGCATCACCAGATATTCAGACTGGCCCAACGGGGTGTTGAAGGCAGTTTTGGGCTCATCACCTTCCCAGATGCGCACTCGAAAGTACATGTCCCTCAAATCAAGCTTGGTGAAAATCTTTCCTTTGACAGCCTCCGCCAGCAGGTCTTTGATCAAGGGTAAGGGGTAAACATTCGGAGCTGACACCATATTCAAGCCCCGGTAGTCGGTGCACAAACGGAGGCCTCCATCTTTTTTCTTTCTGAATAGAACGGGGGTGGCAAAGGGGTAATATCTCAGTGGCCCAGTCAGTATTACGGTGGGGGGGGGGGAGGTTCATCGGCCTCCTCCTCCTCGAACACCTTGGCCAAGTCCCGATACTCTGCAGGGATGGAGTTTATTTCCTCCTTAGCCAAGCAGGCATAGACTGGACCGTCCGGAGGCTTGTCCCCCCACTCCGATAGCCAGGGGTCGGATTTACAGCCAGAAGCTATAAAGATGACAGCCCCCTCACTCCATTGGATGGGCTCTGAGCCATGGGCTTCCTAGCACCATGGAAAACCAAGCCATGGGGTTTACAACGAACGCTCAGGTTTCCCAGTGAGACCCCATGATGACTGTCACAGTTTGGTAGTTACAGGGCTCACGCATAATGGACCTGTCCTTCTGGGTGAAAATCAGGCTCAGGTAACAGCTGCACTGGGACCCCCAACCCCGTGACGATAGAAGAGCTAATGAGGTCTCTGGCACACCCTGAGTCTATAAGTGCCCTTACTCATACCTGGGTTCCCAGCTCTGGGTTGAGTACTGACACAGTCACGAAAAACAAAGGGGGGTGGCTGCTCACTGCTCGTGGCCCAGACTGCTCTCGGACCTGCTGCTTTGTGCCCTTTACAGCAGGTCCTGGCCTCTTCCCACCAGCCGGGGGTTCTCGTCTCCACTGGAGGACGCAGCCCCGGACTGGGCGTCTAACTGAAGGGCCCGAGGCAACTTCAGGCTCAGGCTCCCTTTCCTCGGGAGCCTTGGGGACTGGTGGCATGATGACTGCAGGGCAGAAAGCAGCATAGCGGCTGGCCTCCCCGCAGCACTGGCACAGCCCCTGGGGCATCCTCTGGTCACACAGTGGTCCCTTTGGCTTAGGACGGGAGGTCTTTGGGAGCGCCCCTGGGGTCTTCGGGTACACCTTGGGAGAAGTAATCTTAATCATCTGGAGGTGGTTCTCTGCATTGCCGGCTTCTGTCACCCAGGCTGCCAAGAAGATCAGATTTACATTCGGCAGCACCGCCTCCCGGATCTGGTGGCTCAGCCCCAGGCGGTACTGCTCCACAAACACTGGTTCAGGCCACCCCTGGATCTTAGCGGTGGCGCAGGCAGTAGAACGCCTGCTTTAAACATCTGTGAGCAGCCATTGCGGCTGTTCGAATACCACCGTGCCCGGAGTGAGCTCCCGGCCTTCGTCCCAGCTCCCGCCAACCCAGCGGGCCGAAAGCTAATTAACACCTGTTGCAAGTAGGCAAATGGGTACCTACCCTTAGACGGGTAGGGGGCACCCACCTCTGTCGGAAAGAAGATATGGTGGAGAAATGTGGATGGAGTGGTGATGCAGACAACACCATGGCGGCGGCGGCAGCGTGACATCGGCGGCAGTAACGGCAGCGGCGGCTCTGATGGAGTGGAGCGGAGCGATCCCTGGTGGCCAGGGGAAACATCGAGCGACGGCAAGCGGCAGAAGATCGAGGCGCGCAACGATGACGCAGGCACGGCGGTGCCTGATGGACGGAGCCAGCCAGCGTCCTCGGAAGCTGTGCGCCTGCGTGGTACTGCTGTGCTGTGATCGCTGAGCCGGGGGGTGAAGCCGCGCCGCGCCGACCCAAAGTTGCCGAGGAAGGAAGAAAAAATTAGGACGACAAATTGTGAGCCGCCCAGAGACCCCTTCGGGGGTTAGGGCGGGATATCAAGTCTAAGGTAAATAAATAAATAAATAAATAAATTAGCTACATACATCTTGAACTCATCAGAATATTCTCTCACCGGCCGGTTTCCTTGCTTTAGGGCCCACAGGGCGGTGCGAGCCTTCTCCGCTTCCATGGGGTCTTCACACTGCCTCCTCAGAGCCACCTTGTGGGGGCCCCCCCCCACCCCCACTTGGGACCCGGCTGCCTATGAAGGGGTGTGTGTGTGTGCTTAGCCCCTCTGGGCTTTCGCAGGATTCAGCGTTCACATGTTGCACAGTGGAAAACAGTGGCAGAGGCCGGGGGGGGGGGGGGGGGGGGCGGGGGGGGGGGTAGTAGACGGCCTTCCCCCTCTGAGGGCTGCATTTTCCTACTGGTTTATGGCCAATAACTCTGTGGAACCTCCACTTCTCTTCCCAGGTCGTAAATGTGTCTCTTCTTGTCCTGTCTCCTAGCCCAGTCCTCATCCATGGCTTCTCCGCAGACGGAGGCGCTCTTTGACCTCATCGCCAGCTCCCAGGGCCGGCGCCTCGATGACCAGCGTGCGAGCGTGGGGAGCCTCCCGGGCCTGCGCATCACGCACCACAACCTTGGCCACCTCTGCGTGGAGGGCAGCGCACAGGAGCCAGGCGACGAGTTCTTCAACATGCTCATCAAATGCCAGGTCTGCTGGTGGGGCAGGGCCTCCCGGGAGAGGGGGCGAGGCAGCCAGCCAGGCGGCCTGTTGTGTCTGTAGTGTGATTGCCACAACGACTTGCAGCAGCAGGATGCCAGGTGTTGGGAACTCAATTTAGAAGTGCCACAGGGGTCCAGTTCTGGTCAGAACTGTGACACAGTTGGAAGAGGGTCTTCTGCCCCCCCGATCATTCCCCTACACAAAACAGGGCCAGGAGGGCGCTGCAAGCATTCCATGCATGTGCCGCCCCCCCTGATGGGGCAAAAAGTACTCTGCTGGGTCATTTGGGGCCAGAAAACATCGGGGGGGGGGGAAGCTCCCCACACACACACCTCCGTTATAACCAGAAGCAAACCCCTGCAGTCTTCTCAACGGAGTTCTGCTGGGGTCCTTCTGTAAGTCCCCACAGCAATCGCATGGCACAAGGGGAACATGTAGGGTTAGCCCTGTCTTGGTTTCAGGATTCTTCACAGTTTTGTATGAGTGCTTTATGTTGAGGCATTACAGCCTATGCAGAAGAGGATGACATTGCCAGATAAGTCCAAAGTTCCAGCCTCCCCAGAATACCATCTCTGGCAGGAAGTAGCCAGGTGCCCTGACCAGGAAGAGCAGTAGGCAGCCAGCCAGCCCCCCACCCCCACCGCCCACCGCAGCTTGTCTTTGGCATCTGGTCATCAAAATATACCAGCTGTGATCACATCCAGTTGTCACTGACATTCTCCGGGAATTGCCGTGGTCTTTCCATACAGCATTCTCTGGGCATGCGTTCAAAAGCCGTGGGTCGAGCCCCTCTTGAAACTATTTTCTTATAAGTTTTCTTGGATGGGCAGCCGCATTTTAGAGCTTCAAGAGTGCACATTTAATTATACAATTGCAGGAGAGACATTATCCGGCAATGTGCGTTCTAAGCTTTCTAAGGACACCAGAACTGCAAGGAGCTCGTTCCTCCTTGTCGGCTGCAGCCCCCTCTGCCCGGGTCCCTCCCGGCAGGAGGCTTGGAGCGGCATCAGCCGCCTGCTGTTTGGCCAAAGGCAAACCTGACTCTGGTCTCTACTGGTTTCTGCTCTGTGTGCAACAAATACATTAGTGCAATACAGTTTCATTGCGCTGAGAATTTATTTAGTTACATTTACAAGTATATTCATGTATATACTTAAGATCAAGAGTTGTATTTACTACCAGTGGAGAGCCTGCAAGGACTTGCGTGTAGGGGTGTCTCCCCGCGCCTCCCCCCACCTACGTCCTCTTACCCTTTCCTCCCATAGAGTCTCCCTGTTTTCTGCTTCCTTTTTGCCTTCCCACACACCAGCCCACTTTTACCGGGGAGGGGGGCTGTCTGTCTTCTGCTTTCCATTCTCCCCTCCCCTCCCCCCTGCCACATGCAGGGGGCCACATGCAGCCCATTTTCACTGAAAATGTTGAGACAGTGTGTGGCTGCAATAAAGAAGGCCAATGCTATGCTGGGGATTATTAGGAAGGGTATTGAAAACAGATCAGCCAGTATCATAATGCCCCTATATAAATCAATGGTGCAACCTCATCTGGAATACTGTGTGCAGTTCTGGTCACCACACCTTAAAAAGGATATTACAGCTTTGGGAAAAGTGCAGAAAAGGGCAACTCGAATGATAAAAGGGTTGGAACACTTTCCCTATGAGGAAAGGTTAAGGCGCTTAGGGCTCTTTAGCTTGGAGAAATGACGACTGAGGGGTGACATGATTGAGGTTTATAAGATTATGCATGGGAAAGAGCAGGTAGAGAAAGAGGTACTTTTCTCCCTTTCTCACAATACAAGAACTCGTGGGCACTCCATGAAATTGCTGAGCGGTCGGGTTAGAATGGATAAAAGGAAGTCCTTCTTCACCCAAAGAGTGATTAACACATGGAACTCACTGCCACAGGAGGTGATGGCGGCTACAAGCATGGATGGCTTCAAGAGGGAATCAGATAAGCATATGGAGCAGAGGTCCATCAGTGGCTATTAGCCACAAGGTATAGATAGGGACTCCGAGGCAAGTGATGCTCTGTCATCTTGGTGCTTGGGGGGGTCAACAGTGGGAGGGCTTCTAATGTCCTGGCCCCACTGGTGGACCTCCTGGTGGCACCTGGTATTTCTGGCCACTGTGTGATACAGAGTGTTGGGCTGGATGGGCCTTTGGCCTGATCCAACATTGGCATCTCTTATGTTCTTATGTTCTTAAATGAGTCTCAAGGTAGCAAATTGCCCAGTGGTGGCTGCAAGCTACAGATCCTTCCGCTATCATTTGGGAGAGTTTTAACCCCCCCCCCCCCCCCCCACCCACACACATTTTTTAAAGGTAAAGGTTTCCCTTGCTCGAAAGCTAGTCAAAACCGACTCTAGGGGGTGGTGCTCATCTCTGTTTCTAAGCCGAAGAGCCAGCGCTGTCTGAAGACATTTCCGTGGTCATGTGGCCGGCATGACTAAACGCGGAGGTGTACGGAATGCTGTTTCTTTCCCACTGAAACGGTCCCTGTCTATCTACTAGCAATCTCTTGCTTTTGAACTGCTAGGTTGGCAGGAGCTGGGGCCAGAGGCAGGAGCTCACTTCGTCACGCAGCACACTCGGGTCTCGAACGGCCCAGCTACAGACCTTCCGGTCTGCAGCTCAGCCTCTTAACCTCTGAGGCACCGCGGCCCCATAACTTTTTTAGATGCCAGATTTTTTGTACACTTGGGGTTTTTCTCAAGTTTGTAGAAACATCTATATTGGTTGGATGTGGCTTCGTTTTCTGGATTTAAGTCCCCACAGATGGGGCCATGTTGAGCATTAAGATATATTATGATTGTTGGACATACGTGTTTGCCGGGGTGCTGTGCAGGGCATGCAGTGGTCATGGCTAGTGATGATTGTATATGTGGCTCTCTTGACACAGCACATCAGATTTGCGTTCCCTCTCTGCCCTCAGTACTCCACTCACTGGACTACCCCCTTGCCAGCACAGTAATGCTCCTCTCCTTCATCCCAGATGCAGTTTAGCTGGCTTGGAAGTGTCCTTCGTAGGAACCAAATAGTCAGAATCTCTGCTATGTTTGCCCCCATTCTCCTCCCCCTTTCTGAAGTTTGGTTTTTTTGGTTCCTTTGCAGTCGTCCCGCATTGACGACCAGCGGTGCGCTCCACCTGCCTCCCTCCCCCATGGCCCCACCATGCCAGACGAGGACTTCTTCAGCCTCATCCAACGTGTTCAAGCCAAGCGCATGGATGAGCAGAGGGTGGACCTGACCTCAGCCCAGGAGGAGGAGGAGGAGGAAGAGCAGGCAGTGGAAGCGGAGCCGCTGGGTCCGCAGCAGAGGCCCAGCTCCAGCTAAGGGGCCAGGGCAAGGGCGAGGGCAGAGCTCGCGTGTGGAGTGCCGTGCGCCGAATGGATGAGCCCAGTGGATGAGACCCAGCTTTGTCGCCAGGAACATCGACTCCTCTCTGTGCCACCCCCTCTTAGATGGAAAGGGTGGTGTGCGAACTGTACCTTGGCTGCTTCTTGCTCTTCCTTTGCTAGACTCAGACGTGGATCCCCATGAAGACGACAAGATCGGTGGCCACGGGGATAGGGGTGTTTATTGAAGTCTGCTTTTCTCTGCAGCCGAGCCTGATCTCTGGAGGAAGAATGGTGCTAAAAACAGAAGATGAGGGAGAGAGATCCAATGCAGGGATGGAGTTAGGAACATTCTCGGAGGATAAACCTGCCAGCACTTATTAGTCTTGATAACGGAGAAGGGAAACTTCCGAGAAACACGGTGAGGACAACCTTCACCTCCTTGCCAGGTGTGCCAATGCCCGGAAGCCCTCGGCTGTTGGCTTCTGGAGGCAGAATGCTGGGTGGGCAGATGCCAGGAGGGACTGATGCGGCTGGCCGGCCCGCCCTTGGCATTCGGTGCCCGTGGGGGCACTCCCCACAGACAGCCGAGGGCCTGCCACCGGAGCCCCTCAGCGAGCCCTCAGGCGCCTGAACGGGGCAGCCCAGAGCCTCTGCTCTCAGGCCAGGCGGTGCCTCTGCTCCCATCAGTCCCAGCTCCGTGCCAGGACCACACGCAGTCCCAGGATTCCCAAGTGAACCGTGGTGGCCACGGTGTTATCGGCAAATGAGCGGCCTTGGCGTGAGCCTGGCCAACGGACTGGCTTTGTTCTCCGCTCAGAGTCTGAGTTGCTTGAAATAACTAGGAAGAGGAGTGGCCGCTTGCCTGGGGCAGAGGTGCCCAGTGCGACCAGGAAGGGCCCTGCCACCCGACAGAGATGGAGACTTTTACCACCAGGGTGGCTTGTGGTGCCAATGCTCCTCATAATTCTTCCCAAGTAGCTCATTCCGCATGAAGTTCATGGACGGATAGAAGGCGATGTTTCTTTTCAGCCACCTCAATGGCCAGTGAATGAATTTTCATTTGAAGTACTTCGTGGTACGCTCAGCTCTTGCACATCTTTAGTTTGGTGGGGGGCAGATAGTTCTTCTTGCCACCTTGCCCACCTTGATTGTATTTGAGCTCCTTAGGCCTGGCTGGCCCTGTTCTGCGTGAGAGACCCTCCAGGGCAGTGGTTTGCCTCTGCACTTTTTCCACCGCTGGAACCTCAGCCCACCCCAAATGGAAGACAGCGGTCCTGTTGCGTTCCAAATGCATTTGTGGCCTCCGTGGTTCACAAGTCACTAGCAGGTGCCTGTAAACTATCTATGCAACAGAAGAATCTAAGACTCCGTTTTCGTGCCAGCCCTGGGAGCGGGGAGGGGGGGAACGATGACAACGACGTGTGGCTCCAAGAAGATCCCGCCCACTCCGCCCCACCCCCTTCTCCTCTCCTCTCCGCTTCAGCCAGCCTGGCTTTTGCGGCACAGTTCTCCTCAGCTCTCCTTGGCACTTGTCTCTCACCAGGTGCAGCAGGAGCAAATAAGCCCACGCTGGAAGGCTGCCACGAAGGGGGAAGGGACCGTCCTCCGGCCCGTCTCTGTGGCTACTCAGGTCCACGAGGAGAAGGGCTGCACAGGCCGCACCTTCGGCCATCTGTGCTGGAGGAAGAAACCGGGAAGCTGCGCGTAGGGCGATGGTAGGCAGGAAGGTTGCCCAGAAGCTGCACCGTCCTTAGACTCCCTCCTGGACTCTCCCCCCTCCCCCCAAATCACACTCGTCTCACATTCGCCCCGGAGATCAGACCCAGTCCTGGTCCCTCCCTCTTGTGTAAAGGCTGGAATGTGTCACAAGACTGCCAGGCCAGAGGCAGGGAAGTCTGGCACCCCAGTGGCCAACGCTGTGCCAGGGCTCTTGCCAAGCCCGACGGCCACAGGCCTCCAGGAAGAGCG